CGAAGTATGTATAAAGGGTTGCCCAGTGTTGTCGGGGCCGCGCATAGCACGTGCTTGATTCTCAAAGACTTCAAAATAAGTACCCCAAATCTCCGTCATTAAACCTTGGAACCATAGATGCAGCTTTTTGTATATTGAAAGAATCATTTGAGGATTCGTACATCTTTCACTACAATACCTTGTTGTGTTGTCTTATATAGCGGAGCGTTTTCCCTTTGAAAGTTTCTTCATTTAATTTACGCTGAGCCTCAAATTTTAGCAGTCTGTAAAAATAAATAGTCTCTCTAATTTCTCAAACTGACTTTGAGAAATATTTCCCCGATGGTATCGAAAATGAGGAATTGAACTGGCGGTATGTGTATATTTCCCTTCGGACGTGCACCTTGGTGAGGGCCCGGCTGACCATTAATAGGAATTCCTTCAGTAATGGGGGAATGCCGAACAGCGGCTGCACCCTGCAGTACTTCATCTTCTTTACTAGAGGCCAAAGCGGGACCTAATCTATCTGATTCAATTTCAAGATCAAACTTTTGAAATTGTTCTTCTATACTTCGATTCTCGACTGGTACTTACTTTAGAAACTAAAACTTTCAGAGTCAGGATCTCCTGCTGCATGATGGTTAGAGGCCCTGGAAACAATTTGTTTCTAATTATTGCCCTTACGGTATTGGCTGTGTAATATCTATCGTATGGTACTCCCAATTTACGGGCTATCTGCCAGCACGTTTGAAGTTTCAGGAGTCCAGCTTTGACAATGTTTTAAAACTTCAAATACCTCTTTAATGTGGGTCTTCCATGATCAATATTTTGAAATTAACTAAAGATAAATTCCCCGTATATAACTTTAAAATTGTTCTTTTGAAACAATGTCTTAGAACAGAGATCCCGGACGGGTAACCCATTTGTTGCGAATAAGAAATTTTTTAAAGAATTCAGAATGTGGCCTGATACCATTTTATTTCTTATGCAACAAGAATTTTGGTCCGAGTTATTTAAAGTTTTAGAGTCTAGGGGAAAAAATTTCAACTGGGAAACTCCTAGAATAATATTCAAATTTATTAAAAATTTTTAAATACAATACTTTATCTTCTCTTTGTAGTTAATGTTACTTAATACTTTGTACAATAAAATTTACCATATAACATTTAGTTCAAAATCATGGAAATGTCACCTTAATAAGGAAGTTTTAAATTATTCTTCCTGTAAATTTAGTCTTCAATAACATTTACGTCTTTGTCTTAACAAGACTAAACTCAAAATACAAAAGGTACAAGATTTAACAAGACCTTTGAATTTGGCCCTAAAGTATCTCTATGGATTACTGAACTGACCAAGAATATAAATATCAAAAGAGTCTTTCAAAGCAATGAGGAAAAAAAGTGAGTCAGCTCTTGAGTCCAATTCTCAAAACCATTCAACTGTACACCGTAAGAGCCAATATACGATCAGTTGTCAGGGCTTGAGCAGGGAGCAGACTGACTACTTACCAGTCTGTTGACGTGTCGTCAGGTTGGATCAGCTGACCCACGTCAGCCAGCCGGACATAAACAATTGAACAATTCACCGGATAGTTCCGAGACTTAAACTCTACTCTATATACACAAGAAATCCTACCTAACAATAATAGTAAAATAATAGTGATAATAGTGATAATAGTGATAATAGTGATAATAGTGATAATAGTGATAATACCATGGTATTTTTCGTATATTAACAGATAATAATATAACGCCGAAAGTCTCTATTTTAGCTATAAACGGGGACTTTCGTGCTATAATATTAAGTGATGAACATATTCTCTTACAATAGTTAAATAACACAGGATGACCAATTTCGAAGATATAACACATTCCATTAGTCAATATTTTTCCCGCTGTAGTTCAGGTGCGCCTTATGAGAGTTGTGCCAACATTCAGTTCTTTAAAAATGTTAATATGGGCATATTTAGCATTTTAACATAAAATGATTTAATATAAAGATAAGATAAACAATATTTCACCAAGTTTATAATGTTCGGAGTTAAGTTAGTTAACTGAGAGGAGCAAAAAATTCTTCAAATTTGAATCAGTCAATCGCGATCTCAGGTTTTAATCAATGTCATGGATGAAAGTGCTTGTTCGCATCTGTACGTTGTTTCAAAACTACAGATATAACTCTGGGCAAATATTCTTAATTCTGAAAAATGTTCACAGAGTAATGATCACCAAAAATTAATTATGTTAGAAGCATTTGAGGCTGCAGGAAGCTCATCAAATTTAATTTTCAATAATGAACTTTTCAAATCAATAATTACCATTTGTATGTTACTAGGCATCTTCAGGATTTTTGTTTTGTTCACTAAGTGAAAATAGGTTTATAAATATGAGTATGTAGACTTCTTCTTTAGTAAAATCGCTAAAACAACTTTCAAATGACTTTTGCAATAATCTGTTTTTTTCAATATCAGTAAAATTGCCATTATCTTCAGTACAATCACTCTGTTCTTGTAAATGTAGTATTATTATTATTATTCTTATAATCAAAAAGAAGCGCTAAGCCACAAGGGCTATACAGCTCTTGTAAATGTAGAAACTGTCTCAAATCCTCATTTTCTGAGAGGTAAATAGTTTTAACTTCATCTTGAATGCACTGATATCATTTACTAAACAAGAATACAATTTAAATCATTGAGATGATTAGTAATATCAACTAAAAATGCTAAATTAAACAGTCATTAGTTATCACATAAAAGATCTCTTTCCTCAGGCAGCTTATTCTTCTCTTCAAAAAATTATGAACGTTTGTCAGCTTTTAAAATCTATTGAGAACCTGTCGTCTAGAAAGCCAGCGCCTCACAATGAACGATATTCCATATCTAACAACTCACAATATTCTCTGTATTCTCTTCTGTTTAATCCTGGTGCTCTAATTTTACTGAGGCATTTCAAGTTTGGTAACATAACATGGCTGCCAATATGAAGGTTTTCCACACACTGACTCTTGCAGTATAATGCAGTAATATTTTACTAGACGACCTTATACTTGCTTGAATTTCTCTTATAATTCTTTTTTACAAATCGGTTATTGGTTAATACTTTTTGTATGAGTAGGCTTGTTTTTTTATTATTATCACTGGGGTGCAACGCGTCACTTCTAATCATGCAATGAGCCACTTGTGCCACATGAGCCACTTGTGCCACATGAGCCACTTGTGCCACATGAGCCACTTGTGCCGCATGAGCCACTTGTGCCGCATGAGCCACTTGTGTCGCATGAGCCACTTGTGCCCCATGAGCCACTTGTGCCCCATGAGCCACTTGTGCCCCATGAGCCACTTGTGCCACATGAGCCACTTGTGCCACATGAGCCACTTGTGCCACATGAGCCACTTGTGCCACATGAGCCACTGTGCCGCATGAGCCACTTGTGTCGCATGAGCCACTTGTGCCGCATGAGCCACTTGTGCCGCATGAGCCACTTGTGCCACATGAGCCACTTGTGCCACATGAGCCACTTGTGCCGCATGAGCCACTTGTGTCGCATGAGCCACTTGTATCGCATGAGCCACTTGTGCCACATGAGCCACTTGTGCCACATGAGCCACTTGTGCCACATGAGCCACTTGTGCCACATGAGCCACTTGTGCCGCATGAGCCACTTGTGTCCGCATGAGCCACTTGTGCCGCATGAGCCACTTGTGCCGCATGAGCCACTTGTGCCACATGAGCCACTTGTGCCACATGAGCCACTTGTGCCGCATGAGCCACTTGTGTCGCATGAGCCACTTGTATCGCATGAGCCACTTGTGCCACATGAGCCACTTGTGCCACATGAGCCACTTGTGCCACATGAGCCACTTGTGCCACATGAGCCACTTGTGCCACATGAGCCACTTGTGCCGCATGAGCCACTTGTGTCGCATGAGCCACTTGTGTCGCATGAGCCACTTGTGCCGCATGAGCCACTTGTGCCGCATGAGCCACTTGTGTTGCATGAGCCACTTGTGTTGCATGAGCCACAATTGGCTCATGCAACATAGGTTGGCCATCGTTGATTTATGTACTGGAATAGAAGTGAGGTGTAGCAGTTGACATTAAGGTGAGAATGTTACAAGATGTACTTAAAACTTTGCCTTTTAAGTCAAGTTGGTTCCCTAATATTTTTTCACTCGATGCATCATCAGATTACAAAAGAAAATCCATGTTGTCTGGGAATGTATATATGGTGGTAGCTATACATAATTGTTCTAAATTATTATTATTGTGATGTGATGTTCTAAATCCGTATGATGTGTTGTAATTGTTAGTTTGTTGTGGACGTGTTTATAAGTGCTTTGAGAATATTACTATTATTAGTATTATCAAAGGGGAAACGCTAAACCCGTAGGATTATACAGTGTCTGTGGGGGATATAGAAGGTATTCAGGCTTAATTCAGGGAACCGGAGCACAGATCCAGTTCCCTAGATCAAGAGCCCCTCACCAGCATCAAGGAACCTCCCTTGAGGGGAAGTGTTTTCCGAAAATAATAATTAAAAACACAATGAGTGTGTGGGATTGGAATCCAAGGTAAGACAGTCAAGTAGCTCTTATACCGACGACTCACTTAGCATCAGCATCATGAACAATAGTTTTGTATCCTCTGTGTTTCAGTCATTGTGTCGACTTCATAGATTTATGACTACCTTTCCCAAGGGTTTATGGCCTACTCTTTTCTTGAGTTTATTAAGTAAAAAAGCTATTTACAAAAAAAATGTGATATGTTGTGTAACTTTTATTTATAAGGATTTGTCAAATTGATGCAAAGACAATATTACACTTCGAGTTTGTTAATAATTTCATGTAATGTCGTTGCGTGTTCCTGAGCTTCGTACATTACTGTCAAGATAAGTCAGGTTTAACTTTATTGCGTTATTATAGGTTAAATTTGGCATAATTTAAGATATAAAACCATTGTAAATATATTGAATTATATTTAGGGCCTAAATAGAATTTACAACTCCTTTCCTTTGCTGTCTAACAGACGCACCAGGCTTGTGTTGATGTTCCTAGCGTGTAGTAATGGATATGAACCTTGCCTTGAGGGAGCCTACCAGCGCCTGCAAGCCTGGATCGTGGATCCCAGCTACTATATACCCCCAAACACACGTTCTCTCGTGTACCGTTACGGCATACAGAAGGCAGGTGAGTGCTACTCATCTGTGATTACCTTTGTGTTATCTGTTTTAATTTCAGGAAATGAGTTAACTTCGTTGGAATCCCATCTTTAAATATACTCCCTTTAGTTTCTAGCAAAATCATTATATCCTCATTGCTTTTTTATATAGATATATGGTTTATTTTATAATCCTTCTATATAACAGGCCTTACAGAGGTTTAACAAGGAGTCCCAACTCACTGGTTACTCATCTTTTGTACTTGCACCTGGTCCCATCTCTTTTGTAACCGCTACCGGGTTCTTTCACTCCTAGCTAAGAGACTTATTGTACTCCACTTAAAACTATGAATAGATCCTGCTTCTCCCTCTTCACTGTTCACTGTTCTCATCACTCTAAGGCTGATAATATACCTCCTAACATCTCTGCGATTCATCTGTGATATCACCATCCAGCTGTGCCCTGGTGTTCCTGTTTCCCGTCTGTCGAACAATCTCACCTTGTCCAACCTATCAGTTCCTCAGCATTTTGTGTTATCATTTCACCCCTAATCCTTCTTTCCTTAAATGTCATCAGACGTACCTCCCTTAAGTTCCTGAAAGCTAATTTTTCACTTGCCAGACGTGCATTTACAGCAGCAGTTACTCTATTAATGTGCGCTTCAGGAATGGAGTTTGGAAAACAGTAAGTATTTTGAGGTGATCAGTCCCACATCCTTGATGAATCTGTTGGAGACGATCAAGGAAGGTGTTGTTTAGTCCAATAGTCTTGATGAATCTAAATTATATGCTCTTAGAACGATCGCTAGCGCACTCAGCTCACATACTGAGGTCCGGAGATCGAATCCCCAGTACGGCTGGAAAACATTAAGACGTGTTTCCTTAAGACATCTACTGTCCCTGTTCACCCATCAGTATAATGGGTACCTGGGTGTTAGTCGACTGGTGTGGGTCGCATCCTGGGACAAACCTGACCTAATTTGCTGGAAATGCTCAGCAAAACAAGCGCTTTCTATATAGTACTTGTCGAAAATAAAGATATTATACATTATTATTATTATTATTTTATTATTATTATTATTATTATTATTAATATTATTATTATAATTATTATTATAGAAGAAGACTCATATTCTGAAAACAGGAGCGGTGAAGACAGCATCACTGGCGGTGGTGAGTAAAAGACCATCCAGTCAGTAACTTAAGAGAGAATAGAGTTGAAGGGAAATTCTCATTCCCAAGATTCTAAAATGTTTAATTTATAGCAGCCTCAGCTTTCACAATGAGTGGTCCGGGGATCGATTCCACTATGGGTGAAACGTTAGGTATTTTCCTTTCACCTGCTGCCTTTTTCACCTAGCAGTAAGTAGGTACCTGGGTTTTAGTCGGCTGGTGTGGGTAGCATCTTGGGGAACAGTATTAACCTAAGGGCACCTAGAGTTTACCTAGAGAGGGTTTCGGGGTCAACGCCTCCGCGGCCCGGTCTGACACCAGGCCTCGTGGTGGATCAGGGTCTGATCGACCAGGCTATTGCTGCTGGCCGCACGCAAACTGACCTACGAACCACAGCCCGGTTGGTCAGGTCTATTGGTAATCCCCCTTATATATGCTGGAAGGCAGTTGAACAGTCTTGGGCCCCGGACACTTATTGTCATGTCTCTCAGTGTACTCGTGGCGCCCCTGCTTTTCACTAGGGGAATGTTGCATCTCCTGCCGAGTCTTTTGCTTTCATAGAGAATAGTTTTCGTGTGCAAGTTTGGTACTAATCCCTCTAGGATTTTCCAAGTGTATATTATCATGTATCTCTCTCGCCTGTGCTCCAGGGAATACAGATCAAGGGCCTTCAACCGTTCCCAGTAATTTAGGTGCCTTATCGTACTTATGTGTGCTGTGAAAGTTCTTTGTACACTCTCCAGGTCAGTAATTTCCCCTGCCTTGAAGGGGGTAGTTAGTGTACAGCAGTATTCCAACCTAGAGAGAACAAGCGATATGAAGAGAATCATCATGGGCTTGGCATCCCTAGTTTTGAAGGTTCTCATTATCCATCCTATCATTTTCCTAGCAGATGAGATAGATACATTGTTATGGTCTTTGAAGGCGAGATCCTCTGACATTATCACTCCCAGGTCCTTCACATTACTTTTTCGCTCTATTGTATGGTTAGAATTTATCGTATACCCTGAAACAATTATAATTTCCTGCAGCTTTTTTTTTATCATCTGATTTCATTTTTTGTAGACTATGTAGCCTACCTGAAATGTTGTTAGAAAAAAAGTTTTATTAAGATCGGCCGCCAAACAAATCTATTAAATATATATAATAAAATTAGATTTGGCAACACTGATCTGAAACACTGTAACATACCTTATTTTCATCCCCCAAATAAATGAAGTTACAAGCTGTGGGCATTTTTATAAAATGTCTGCCCTTCCCCCCCCCCCCCACAAACGCAAAAACATGGGGGCTATTGTAAAAATCCCATTGTGGATTTGTAAAACATGTATTGTTGAATGTTAATTGTGAAAATCATTTCAATGCATTCTTTATTAATAACGTACCACTAGTAAATAAGTAAATAACTTACTTGCCAGATAACTGACTCACGAAATCGTAATGACACGATTGCAAACAAACCATACCACGGGTTGGAAGAGAACCCGCGGTCAGAGAGTCACAATCTAGGTCACAGTGGTGCTTATGCTAACCTTCCTATGGTGTTTAAATATACCTAGTTGGATGAATCTTATTGTAGCCAGCTGGCCCAGTGGCTAACGCGTCGGTCTGGAGTTGTATGACTTTCTGACCGCGTGTTCTATTCCCACCCGTGGTATGGTTTGCCAGATATTCCAGGAAACATGTCCCATCATATTTAGTGTAAATATTCATTTTTTTTTAGAGTTAGTGACAGTATTTGTGAGTAAATTATCATTATTATATTATTACAAAAAATAAGCGCTACACCCACAAGGGATAAACATGATTCGAAAAATACGAAAGAGTGTTTTTTTAAACTTATCCCGAGTAATATATGTAGATTTTCTTTGGTGTTAGTGGACCAGAGAGAACGCCTGTTATCATCAGTTGCAGTAACTCCATCTACTCATAAATAACTACTACTACTACCACCTCTTGCCTATATATGCCCCCTTCTTATCTCCTTTTCGGTAGTGTGACTGTAAGTGGTCCAAGTCGGACCGAAACGTCGTCGTAAGCTCTTCTCTTCTATCTGCGGGTTATCTGTGTAACCCGTTCGGGTCACTAACTGGAGAAGACCCTGACTGCCGCCATGTACCGGCCAACCTCACCAAATATAATTAATCTCCACTATAGGCCAATATCAAACTTACCATTGCTATCCAAAATCTTCGAGAAACTCGTGAACAGGTGACTATATTAATTTATAACGTCACAAAACATACTTAACCCCTGCCAATTTGGATTCAGGAAAAATAAAAGCACTAATGATGCAATTATAAAAAATGTAGACCTGCTTTACATAGCATTGGAAAATAAGGAATATCCGCTAGGAATTTTTATTGACCTAAGAAAAGCTTTTGACACAGTAGACCACGGCATCCTACTCCACAAACTTGACCACTATAAGAGGCCATGGTATAAGAGGCCATGCGCTTGCATATTTTAAATCCTACCTTTCTAATAGGTATCAGTATGTCACCATTAAAGACAGCCTCATCAATACGGCCACTTGATACTGGAGTTCCGCAGGGAAGTGTCCTTGGACCCCTGCTCTTCCTCGTTTACATCAATGATCTTCCAAACATATCCCAACACCTGACGTCACGACTTATGTCATCTTCCACCCTAATCTTGCTGCTCAAAATATCGACTTGGATGACAGCCAATAAACTTATACTTAACACTGGCAAAACCTACTATATTATGTTTGGTAGCAGAGCAGGTGTTGCGCAACTTAACGTTAAGATCGACAACACTCTAATTGCCAGACATAATGAGGGAAAATTCCTTGGCCTATACCTCGACAACAACCTAAATTTCAGCACCCATATCCAACACATAACAAAAAAAAGTATCCAAAACGGTTGGGATCCTCTCCAAGATACGATACTACGTGCCGCAAACTGTCCCTCTCACACTATACCATTCACTTATATATCCATACCTCACCTATGCTATCTGTGCTTGGGGTTCAACTGCAGCAACACACCTAAAGCCAATAATAAACCAACAAAAAGCCACAGTAAGAATAATCACTAAATCCCATCCCTGGCAACACCCCCCCCCCCACTCTTCATAGATCTAAACTTACTCCCTGTTCAGAACATCCACACTTACTACTGTGCAATCTATATCTACAGGTCCTTAAATTCCAATATTAACCTTGACCTAAAACGCTTTCTTGATAGTTGTGACAGGATCCACAGGCATAACACCAGACACAAACATCTCTATGACATTCCCCGTGTTCGACTAAACCTTTACAAAAATTCAATGTATTTCAAAGGACCTAAAATCTGGAACACCCTACCTGAAAACTCTAGAACTGCAGACACATTCATCACTTTCAAAACTACAGTTAGAAAATATCTTATCTCCCTGATATACCCCGACAACTAACTACATGATAACCACCTGGTGGTTCACAATTACACTCACTCACCCACTGACTATAAACCCAGAAATACTAATCTTAATCTTAAAATAATAAATCCTAACTAGTCATAAGTTTGCCTATGATACTCCAATATATAGACACTTTGTATTGTGCCAAAACAAAAGCATTCACATTTCTAAACTCACAAATTATGATGTAGTCACTTAGCCTTAATACCATAATCTGTAAGGATTTAATGTTAAGAATTAATCTAAGTCTGCCCGAAATGCCTAGCCATGCTAGGTGTCCTGGTGGGCCCCTCTGTAATTAGTATTTTTATAACATGTAAACCACACAATACCCAAAACCTGTAAACCCCACACTGCATCCCTTATAGAGAATAAACTTGAATAGAATTTATTGAATTCACTTGCCCTCCTGATACACCTAACAATA